TCTACTCTGGCAAATGTTTTTCTTACTTAATTTCGTATAATTGGTCGGTTCTGTTACAGAGACCACCGCTGCTTTGTTCCAGAGGGAGAAGAATAAGGTGGTTGTCCTAGATAGTATTCCTATTTCTTGCACAAGTTGATAACAAAGACTCTAACTATAAGACTTGAGCTATATGCTAAAAAGTTGATACACCCAGCACAAAAATGCTTTTATGAAAGGGAGGAATATTATGTCTAATGTTATGTCTTTACATGAAATCCTCCATGAGACTCAAAGGAAGAAACAACTAGGCATAATTCTCAAACTAGACTTTGAAGAGGCTTATGACAAAGTCAACTTTAATTTTTTATTTAAATGTTTATAGGCAAAAGTTTCCTTTCAAGAAATGGTGTGAGTGGATCAAACAAGTGGTCTCTTATGTGACAAGTAGCGTAAGGTTGAAAACATCACATACCTATACATCAAAAACCATAAGAGAGTAATGTAAGGAGATCCTTGTCACCCATTCTCTTCAATTTTGTTGCTAATTGTTTGACAAGAATGGTCCTTAAAGCCCAAGCTAATGGCCTGATAACTAGACTCATTGACCATATCATTGTTGGTGGTGTTGGCCATCTTACATTACGCGGATGTCACGATAATATGCTTGAAACATGATCAGGAATGTGAAAAGAATATGAAATTATCATTGTACATGTATGAAATGATGGCTGACCTGAAAATCAATTTTAATAATAGCAAAATCCCAATGATAAATGATCGTGAGAACCGGGGTCCGTTTTATGCCGACATCTTTAACTATCAAGTGTGCTTTCTCCCTAAATACTTAGGAATCTCTACAAGTCCTAGTAGGTTTAATATCATTGACTGGCTTCCTTTGGAAGAAAAAGAATGTTAAAAGATTAGATGTGTGGAAAGGTGTCACTATGTCTATAGCTATCAAGTCCACTATGACAAGTGTCAGTTTGAATAATTCACCAATTTATCACATGTTCACTTACCTGTCACCCAAAATAGTTATCAAGAGGCTTGATAAGGTCAGAAGGACTTTCTTCTGGAAGGGGGAGGTATAAAGAGAAAATATCATCTAGTAAAATGGACCATAATTTGTAAAAGCAAGAGGAAAGGGAGTTTGGGCATCAAAGATGTTAAAAAGATGAATTTAAGTCTTTTATGCAAATGGTGGTCGAAATTCTAAAAGGAAGATGGCTCATGGCAAGACATTATCAGATTTAAATACATAAAAGAGAGATCCATTAACTTTGTGAAACATAGACTTAATGATTCCTTTGTTTGGGTAGATCTTTTAAAAGTAAGATGCGTTTGTATGCAAGGTAGATCAATCAAAATTTTAAAATAGAAAGAAAACACAATTTTGGCAAGATGATTGGCTCTATGATAAAGCTCTCTGTGATTTGTTTCTTTGCTTATATAAAATTTATGATGAGAAGGATATTTGTGTTAGTCAGGTAAAAGATGAGAAGCTTCAAATTACTTTTAGCAGATGGCTTATTGACGAGTTGAGAAACAACTATAATCAAATTTGCATCAACATTATGATTTTTAGCTTCTAGATGAGCAAGATGTTGTCACTTGGAAGCTTGAAAGCAATAAAAAGTTTTCAGTGAAGTCCCTTTACAATGCCTTAATAGTTAATGGTGTTGGACCAACTTATAATAATATTTGGAAAGGAAAATCCCAAATAAAATCAAGATCTTCTTATGGATAGTTGAAAATAATGTTATTCTAACTAAAGACAACATGAGTAAAGGAAGGTGTCTATGGGGGTGGGGGTCCAAACTGTTATTTCTATGACCAAATGGAAAGTATCTCACATTTGTTGTTGACTTGTAACATGGCCAAGATTTTGTGGACAATCAAAGCTCAGGCTTTGGAGCAAACAATGTTCATAGAGAGCTACACCAAGCTTGGAAATGGTGTAATCTCTGGCTTCCAAGAGAACATAAATTCCATGATTTGGGCATTGCATCACTTTGATGGGCCATTTGGAATAAACCAAGCTTGTTTTGAGGGCAAAATTGTGAAAACTCATGTTGAAATTGTATGTTATGCATGCTCTCTTATGTGTTATTGCCTTATTGGGTAGGTCTCTATGCTGAAGTGGACAAAGAAGAGTTAGAAGAAGGTGAGAACGTCATACTACATATTGTGTCAAAGTTGCTCGCTAAACCAAAGCTAATCAAGGCTAGTGATGAAGTAGTGGTAGGATGTTGAACATCAAGGTGATGAAGATTAAGGACCTGACAGATGTACGTGAAGTCAGTGATGTAGCTGTGATTCTGTTGTGTTTCTGATGTAGTTCGTAAGATGGAAACATGTAGCCCCCAATCTTTGTCTGGTTTGCTTTTGGTCTGCTATGTCATCTGAATCAGATAGGCGCAGAATACATGGGACGTCTGGTTCAAGTTTAGTCAATTTCCTTTTCTTGGCACGGTTCTCTGAACTATCTTGAAACTATATTATTTCCATTATCTGAGTAATGGAAATGAGGAGTACCTTGATTCGAAGAAAAAACACCACACATTGAGACATTCTCGCGTCTGCTTGCATACATACACCCATGGTCAATTAAACATGATCCATGGCGATCACGATTATTCATGACTCATGAATTTCTTGCGCAAGCGGCAAGTGCAGTGGACTAGTGAGTTTGTCGCACTCCTTCGGACCTTCCTCTTTTGAGCCTATTAGGTGGCTACTGCCGTAGCTGTTTTTCCTACAGTGGGCGCTTGCACGCCTTCTCCTCTTTTCTCCCTCGCGTTCCCCACCGTCGCCTCTCCCTGCCTAGCTCCGACATTTTCACTCTCCATCGTCGTCCTTAACCACGTCTGTGTCTAACCCGAGCTTCTCTTCTGGATCCGGCGTGAGCACCCCCGTCTCCACAATCTCACTTGCTACAACAACGCATTGTAGCCTTTACCGCCGCCGTCGCCATACCAATCTTAACCTCCCTCCTCCTTTTTATTCGGCTGCTCCCGTCGTTTGGACTGGCCAATCGCGGCGGCGGGTCTTTTATCACCGTCTCAACCGCCACCACGGCTGGTCGAATGACCTTTCTAAAGCCCTCTTCTAAGCCGGCAGTCATTTAAGCCCTCTTAACCCCTGATGAAGCCCCGAACCCTAACGCCGGCGAGATCTCTCCGGCTACACCCGGTGTTCTCTCTCTCTTTTTCGTCGGAGGCTGAAGCGCATTCGCGTGCTCGTGCGGACAGAAGCTTTCGCGCTCTTCTAAGTCCTGCTTCCTCCCCGGACCATGCACCGCCGGACTGGCTTCCCCGCCCCGCGTTCTCGCTGCTGATCTCCGCAGCCTCGCCTGGTCGAAGGCCGCCGCCTCTTATCCCGCCATGGCCCTCGCCGCCGTTTTCCACCTCATCACCGCGAGCCGCCGCTGGTTCATTCCGGCCGAACGGACCCGCCTGCACAGCGAAAACAAAACGGCTGGCATGTCAAGAAGCTACAGGGTTCCTATGTGCATGATGAAGAAGATAGAATCGATCGCCGGTGACAGACAAGAGAGAGCGAGAGCGCCGGAGCTGGGAAGATATCCGCCGGGGTGCGCGGTGGTGGACGGCTGGATCCCATATGCCCAGCCCTGGAGCGGCGGAGTTAGCCGGAGACAGTCGATGGATCGCCAGCTCGGGGGCCCTGCTTGTTTTTGTTGGCTTCAGGGCAAGTTTGACCGCTAGCTCGATCGGTTGGCATGAAGGGGAAGGGAACAAAGAAAAATGACGCGAGATATCTGCAGGATGCCTTTAGGAAGATAGAGATAGTGTGTGTCTGCGTGCGTGAGGGAGAGGCCAGTGGTGGACAGTCTGTTAGGGATGGAATGTTAGCTATGTTGTGTGCAGATGACGACGGTGCAGCTTGAATGATGATTTTGCAGTGGCTGCCTTGTGGCTGGACTGGAGCAAATAAACCAGTGGCTGCCGTCGTGGATGGTCCTGATCTTCTGGACATATTGGCACTGTTCTCTTCCTGTCTTCCCGACGAACCCAGTGTAGGCACTGTTGCCACAGTGATCAAAAGCAGCCGAGAAGAATCCCACTCCCACCCGCTCTCTGCTGCTGCTGTAAATCTGGCCCGTTCATTTGACCTATAGTATTTTTCTCTCACAATAAAACAGTTTCAGCTGGTTTATCAGCCAACTTTAATATCAACCGAACAGACACCACCTGCCTCGCGTGCCTTTTGCTCTCCCACGCAGAAATACAAAGTGGTCCTTTGTTTTCCTATATTTATATAGGGGGGAATCGACGAAAATGCCGGGTTCACTGAGTTCTGTGGACCTAGTAACAAGCCCATTGTTTTTTTTTCGGAGAACGGGCTCAGCACGTATTTAGGAAATTTAGAGTTTACAGAGCGACTAGCGCAACGAGATGCCATTGTGCAAGGCGCGGGCGGGCATTACAAGAAGCAATTATACGAAAAACAATTTTGCGACCGAAGAACTACGGACTACCTAAGTGCCAAGTGCCCCGCGCCAAGAAGACCGACATAGCTCCGAAGCCCGCACCCATCAAAGCATTTGCCTCGTCGATGATCCGCTGGAAGAGCACAGGCGGTGACATTGGCTCGGCTTGGAAGGTCCTGCGGCTGCGCTCCTTCCACAGCTCCCAGGTGACCGAGAGAGTGACGGAGTCGAATCCGCGGCGGCAGTGGTGTGGAACCTGTGTACGAGCCCGGAGCCACCAATCCACCAATGTAGCGTCTGGAGGTGGGGATAACTGTGCCAAACCAGCCACCCGAAGCACAAGAAACCAGATTTCACGACTGAAGACACAAGCCCATTGATTCATTGAACAAATGCTTTCAGTATATCAGTACTTATTGTGAAACAGTGAAAGCGTTGCATGACCCGTAGGACCAACATAGTACTACAAAAGAAAGACTATCCAAATGGGGGAAAGATACTTCTACAGTTATACTCTATCCCGTTGGTGCTATTGATTCTTATGTTTTTTTTAGCAAAGTTCTTATGCTCATCGCCTGGTTTTCTTGAGAAATGACAAGATGTTACTCGTGCTCCCATGGTTGGCCTTCTTCTTCTGATCACCTAGAACAATGTGAACATCCTGCCAAAAGTACAAAGAAAAAAAATCTTGTTCTGATCAACATAAACCATCACAAAAATCTTTATACAATTTTAATAGTGTTCGATCACTTTGTGGTGTCTGTACAGTGTAGTGTCAAGCTAAGACAACATATTAGATAGGAAATAATATTTAATTATCGCATAAGGTACGCTTTTCTTTTTTTTAAAGTAAACATAAGGTACCAGTTTTTCTGTATATAGAAATGAAATATACCTCTGCTCTAAACGAGAATGACCTTCTTATGGTCCTTGGGCTGTCCTCAAAATTTGCTGATACCATGGTATGTTCTTTTCCTAATAAGAATTGAACAGACATAGAAGATCTATCATGACTCCAGGAAATGACAATGGATGAACAAACACACAAGATTAACATATATTTTTTACCTTATTATTAAGCCTCAAGTAGAATTGTAATAATACATTGACATAAATTTCAAGGCATACAAACACTCATACAATTTCATTTTTTCTACAAAGACAGTATTGTCCCCTCTGTTGATGAGTTTAGCAATTTATGGTCAGGCTCCTTGCTAGTTGCTACAGAATAATTATTCAAATAACATTGCCAATTTTTTGCTAAGCTGTTTCTTTAAAAGAATGAAGATAACCATAAGGGATTACTTAGAGAAACAGTGCTATACTAAGAGCAATATAATCTTATATAAATATGCCCAGAAAACTACATATTACTATTACCGGTGGCTGGTTGAACATCATATGGCTTGAGAGTGAGGGTAGCTCCAGATACTGTTGGGCCAGTAATTTCCGGAAGTCGTGGATCATTTTTACTATCATATAAATATAGCAAAAATCATTAAATGGTGCAGCCCATACGTGAAATAATAACAAAATGATCAAAATTAACAAGTAACAAAAAAAACCTCGAACCAACACCGTTTCCCAGTTTGGACCTTTGAGTAACTGTTGAAAAATATAGCAGACACACCAAATCAATAATGGCATTTTTTTGAACGAATCATCAATAATAATATAACCAGTCAATTTTGAAATAATTGAGCGAAATGAAACTGAATAAAAAGGTACACTGTTCAAAACAAAAAGTATGCAATCCCTGTTTGCTATTTGGATGGACCAAAAGATGATGTATATATGGAAATAAATAGTATAATTGATACTAAACTTTTGTGACTACAAATATTCAGACAGGAATCACATTAGACAATTTGAATACAAAATAAACAGGAGAGCTGCTTATCTTTCCATTAAGAAAAGAAATAATGTCTAAGAACAATACAATAGGGCAAAATCATGAGACACCCAACAAATTGTAAGAGAAAAACCATTAATAAGATGTTTGTGCTAGAAACTAGAACTACCAAATCAGAACACAACTGATCCACAGGACAATACAAAAATACACTAATTGTTATAGTCTTTCATTTCTCTGATGAACATTTGCTAAGGGAACTAAATTTTCGTTTCGAAGGTAGGTAAATTGCTTTAGTTGCAAGCATGGATGCTAATGGTTCAGTAAAATGTGAGATATAAATAGTTTGCAAGAAAAATTAAGAAGGTTTACATTGTGAGATGTAACGACGATGATATTGAATGGCATCAGGGTCCCCTCGTACAGTCAAAAGCTTCAGAGAAATGGCATACTGTTCGCATGTCAAAAGCCTCTGGTGCCATGAACAGACCATAACAAAATTCAGTAAATCATTAAGGTTTCATTTGATCTTTGCCCATTGGCAGCCATCGTAAAGTTTTACTAACTATGAAAGAAATATGATGCAGCATGCATATGTTAATGCTGACTTCGTAATTAATAAAAGAGTACTCTTAATAAAATTGTAGTAGCAGAGAAGAAATGAAGTTCTGATCTGAACAACACGTAAGTAATGAGTACTTATTCAATTGGAAATCAGAGTCTGTTAATCAGCATTTTACTTTGCAAGTAAACAAGAGAAGTCCAACCTGTTTCAAGAAGTTGATCTTTCGTTCTGTCTGTGTGACGTCAGTCTTCTCCTGCAGCTTGTGCTCAAGCTTGGATGAAACAGTCCCCAAGTGATCAATCACAGCTACCACCGCGTCACATATGTAACCCTTTGTACCCTCCAGAATCCTTCACATGCATGAAAGCAGAGCACACACATAATAATTCCATGAAAAAGATTTTGAGAAGCCTGTGAACCAATGTCTTCGTGGGGTAACAGAATGAGGGTAGCAGAAGAGGGAGCGGCGGCGCTGCTTACAGCTTCTTCTTGTCGGTGTTGAGGAACGCCTTCTCGCAGCAGTCCGCCGCTTCGTGCAGCTGAGACCGCAGATCCTTGAGCTCCTGCACGGCCCAAGACGGCAAGACACGACAGCCTGTAAGCTTACCAACAAGGCCGCGCCGAGCCGCGACAGGAACAGGACACGACACGGCCGGGCAAAACTGACGAACCGCTCAACGTACCCTGAGCGCGCCGTCGAAGCTCTCGGCGCCGGGCGCGCCTAGCCGCGACGACGACCTGTCGAACGGCATCGGGAACGCCGCCCCTGGCTGCTGCATCCCCGCCTCGCCGGCCTCAGCGTCCATCTCCGACCTTCCCTCCCCACGCAGGCACGCACTCCCCGCTCGCGGCCCCAAGCAACGCCTGAGGCTGAAACCAGGACGAGAGCACTGTAGCGATGTGTCGCCGCTCCCGGACCCCTCAGCTTCGGCTTCACAATGGGTGCAAGCTAGCTAGCGGCTAGCGCAGAAATGGCATACGCAGACGAGCGCGAAGTGAGCGTTCGGGGACAAATAAACCGGGGGCAAGGAGACAAGGCGCCCAGGCGGTCGCGTGACCTCCCTTTGGCGCGGGGCGGCGGCTCCGCACCGGGAGGCACACCGCCCACACGATGACGCGAAGACGACGGGGTTTCTCGTGGCGTGGAAGCGCGCGTCCCTCCTCGAGGACCGAGAGGCTCGGACGCTCGGACGGCGCGGCGCCGTGCACAGGGCTCGTCACGGGCGCGCTGCTACTTCCTGTTTTCTTTGGGACGAATGGCGCGCTGGTGCTTGCGAGGCTGCTGCAGCTGCCAGCAGCCGGTGCCGGTTGGATTCTTGTGTCTAGCGTTTTGTTTGGTTTGATTCAGGCGGCACGTGTCCATCCTGAATCCTGATTAAGGAATCTGGTGTTTGTTTAGTGGCTCCATCAGCATCACCGACCGGAGAGTCCCCGAATCCCTACAGTATAGAGCTTCTTTGTCGCCATTGTTCAGTGTTCACACCTCCCATCTGGCGGGGCGACGAGTCCAAATACATGCAGAACTCAGGGGGCAATCTGCAAACCAGACATCTGATGTTGCGTTAGTGGACTAGAGAGCTCCGGTTCACATCCGGTGCCGTGCGGCGCATCAAGACGTCGGAGGCCAAGCAGTTCTTCGTGTTCCTCCACACGCGTCGCCCATCGCCGCGTGCCTCTCAATCCCGCCTCGTTCTGCAGCGATTCTCGCTTGTGCGCAGCCATGATGGCGTGTGCCCTCGCCGTCGCCCAGCCTGCGGCATCTCTCGCGCCATCCGGCAAGAGGAGCCTCTCCGGCGGCCGTCCCCCACGGCTGCCATCTCCCAGACTTTCAGGTAAAATTGCCTTCAGATGGGCTGCTGTTTATTCCTCCTGGTTAATCTGCATAGAGGCCTGATGCGAGAGTTCACATGCATCATTGTGTTCTGCAATGTGTGCGTGGTGCAGACAAGCTAAGGAGCCGCTGTGTCGTTGCCAAGGCTGCGCAGGACAGTTCAGAATCATCCGGGAGCATAGTGAAATACGTCACGAGTTCTGTGAGTTTCTTGTCCTGGTGACTTGTGAGTCATGACTCATGAAAAGCTATTTAGCCATATCAAGCTTGAAGTTTGAGCTTCTTCAAAAGGGCCAAAAATTTCTTGCTCTCTTATGAATGTGCTGCGACTTGCCTCGTTGTCTTCAGTGTAAACTGTGTGGCTGTTGGCTAAGCAAACTTGGCCTTTCTCAAGATTGGGTGCTACTACTTACAACTTAGCTGGGGACATCATACTGACAATGCAGAAAACGGATCCATGTTTGCAGTTTTGAACATTACAAAGCTCACTTCCATGCCCTATGCATCAATCCTGCAGCTTTAGGGTTATGCTTTGTTTGGTGACATTAGTACTTCCATGAGGCACTGCGGAAGACTAACTAAACTTTTATAGTTGTATTGATTAATTTTTTTTTCCTAAAAACGAATACAGTTCAGCACTGCGGAAGACATTTTTGGTCTAGCTGGTATAGGCTTTGCCGCAATAGCTGCATTATGGGCTTCAGTCAACCTCATTGAGGTACATTCCAAATGACATGTTGCAGCTTTCAATTCCTAACAGATGAGCGTTCACCTACAAGCCACATAAGGTTAATCTGGTCCATGTTTTCGTTCATCTTCAGATCATCGATAAGCTCCCGGTTCTTCCTCTTCTCTTTGAACTAGTTGGGATATTAGTTGCATGGGTAAGTTTTTGTCCCACCTTTAGGCTCCTAGGGTTTACTCTAAAATTTTACCATCTTTTCAAATACTTTATATCATCGCAAGTAAGTTTTCCCGAGCCCTGATTATCAACTCTTGACATTTTCAGCTTTTCATCTACAACAATCTCCTCTTCAAGCCAAAGAGGTAATAACTACTCCTGTTCCATTATGTTCGCTCATACAGCCATGCTATAGGTACGATTGGACCATCCGATCAACGCACTACCATTAGTCCATTACATACGTGCAAAGCCGCAGCAGGCATGAGAGGATGACTGCCGGACCTCTTAGGATATACTCCATCATTTCAAATTACAAGGCGTTTTGGCTTTTAGAGATACATAGCTTTTGCTGTGTACTTAGATATACACTATGTTTAAAAGCAATGCATCTAGAAAAGCCAAAATGTCATATAATTTGGAATGAAGTATTAAGAGATAGTATCTTTTCAAGAAAAAACATGTGAAATGATTTCAAGCATACCCCTACTAAATAATATGGTACACATATCTTCTTTCAAAGCATTTAACTTCAGGTATAAAGAGGAAACGTATTGTAATAGGACAAACACTATTGACACGTTTGGTTGGAGATAATTGAAAGGAGGGAATGGAAGTTTGGAGCTAGAATTTTAGATTTTTTTTTGTTTTGTTTTATGAGAGTGGTTGTTTTGGTGGGAGGGAGAATGGGAGTTTAGAGACCAACTCATCAATCACTTCCCTAGAGAGAGGAGGTAGTTGGGTGTGAGTTGTGCTTTTAATGAAAAATGAATGTATCATCAGTCCATTATGTCTTTTCATATAGTTTCCTACTTAAAAATCACACAAGATGACAAGATACATGGGATATACATTTTCTCTTCGACTCCCCTTCTTATTCTCTTCACTAACCAAACAAGGAATTTAGACTAAGAGTTAAATTTCCACTTGAATTCTTTCCATCAACTCCCATCACTAATTCCTATATCCCTTTTCAGTAGTTGCCAAACGTGCCGTGTGAGATAAGTCTGCCAAGGCCATAGGCCAACATACCAAAACGGGAGAGTAATTTAGAAGTAGCCGTACAAATATAAGCATTGTAGCTAACTGGTATTGCTCGATTCATCACGGGTCCTATTTTGCGTTTTGGATTGATTAGTTCATATATTTCTGCAGGGAAGAATTTCTGAAGAACATAAAAAACTCAGTATCTCAAATCCTGGGGCAGTAACCTTTGCACGCGACAGTAGACAGCAAGCATTCTGTCATGGGTTCTCTGCAAGCGTACCGAATGCAATTATGCAATATAAACTGTCTGCAAGCTATGAGTGTTGCCATTTTTTACTCTACATAAGCACTACCAATTTTCTGTACAGGTTAGTGTGATTAAAGCCGTTTTCCTAGTACCAAAACTTGGACTGGGACCTCTTGCTGTACGAGTCTAATGAAAACAGACACCCGGATTCTTCCTGTACTGAATGCTTCGGCTATTCAATTTCACGTACAAGGACGAAGGGGTATTTACATCTGAAATCATGGAAACAGCGCAACAAAGAAGAAAAGATGTCAAAGAGATTCAGTAATGGCCAGCGGTGAATGAGGACGCCTTTACAATTATCCTGTAGGTTGGCAATCAAACATCACAGTTCACAAGGCAGCCAAAAGTTGTAGAGCCATGGAATCGATGTAGCACACGTCACCTTGGTGCTAAAAAGATCATGCGAGTTCAAAATAACATCAGAACAGATGGGTCCATCTCTGCATTGATACCTTTTCTTCCTTTGATTTTTGATTTTGAAATAAGCACCCACCCAGCTGTGCTCCTCTTGTAAGGACATCCTCCCCAGCCCAAGTTGTTGTGGTTTGTGTGCGGCACGCACACTTTGCAAAAACACAAACAGCAGCTACATCTTGGCTCGAATCAGGTGGATGGCAAATGATAAAATTTCGACAGGGAAAGAAAAGAGAGAAACTACAATGTAGAAAATGCGACAAGGTTGAATGCATTTATGACTAAACTAACTATCCAGATTCCAGCATTACACTTATTCTGACCAATGAGAATAAATTTGAATTCTCTAAAATATAAATTATATCTATCAAGACTGATACAGGTATCTGATAAACATGTTAAAGGGGTGAAAACACGATTCCCTTGATCATTGCAACACCCTGAGTACAAACCTGGAACGCCCAGGTTTCAGTTTTTGTCCAAAAAGTCAGTAACAGGTTTTCCAGCATTACTGCTGGAACTCTGCGGATATGTTTTTACAACAGGTACATCTACTTTTGAATATGGTACTTGAGAAACACCATTTACCTGCCCAGGATAGCCAGATGTTTCAGATTTGATTGCCATGGAGTTCTCTGCAGGGGAGAATAATCAGGATTAAACTCATCCTAGCCCTAGAAAGCAAACAGAAAAGGATGTATCTCTTCACAATATACACTCTAGCCTTCCTAGGTTTACTAATGGATTCTCAGTTCCCAGATAAAATGGAAGAAAGTACTTGTATAAATGAGCTAGCAAGTCACCAAGTTCAACTCTTAAGTCAGACAACACAAGACCATGTAAAACCATTCAGTCAGATGGATCCATATATTATGCAATGCTGGCAAATATCACTGACCGAACTATCTTTCTCTTCTCTTTTTTATAATAAAATAAATTGCACAGTAGGGGCCTCCCTTACTGTATTCCCTCTCTCAAAAAAAAAATCACTGATGTGAAGTAACAAGATGAGGTCACGTGTAAGGATTTCGCATTAGCAATTAGCATGGTGAATAGGAACATTTGGTGTACCTTTCCTTCTTCCTTTTACCACAAACTTGCGGAGGCATTCACGGAATTCTGTCAGCACAACTCTTTCTTGTTCTGCATACAGTGCAGATTGGTTTTGGTTGACAGTTACTGTCTGCTGAGGAACAGCATTTTGAGAAGTCGTAAACACTGTATCTTGTTCGTCACACATTTTCTCGAGCACTTCTTCGTCACACAACAGTGCTAGTGTTCCAGGAGACATAGGTCTATTGGACTTCTGATCATCAGCGTAGTTAGGTCTGGATTCTTCTAGAATAGCTTTGCCCGTATGAGTTCCTCTACTTGAATGGTCATCAATTGATGCTTTTTGATCTGGATCTTGATTATTTCCTTCTCTATCATGGTTTGTCAATGCTTGGGAATCTGCCCTGTCACCTTCCTTCTGTCCTCCCCTTTCATCTTCCTTCTTGCCAACCCTCTCTTCCATCATTTTCCGGCCTGTTATTTTAATAAAAATAATACAATGAGCAGCACATAACCATCCAATTAATGCCCATTTAACCATTTTGCAGACTCTGTTTATAATCCATTAATCCTCTATGTTGTTCTTGGTTGCATTCTCTTAACATACAGTAGTGCATACTTGCAGGTCTCAGGGGGAATGAAATAGTGCTACATGTAATGTGTGTCCATACTTATATTGATAAATAAATAAATATAGCACATTGAAGGACAGAAGTGAAAATATGCAGTGAAACGCTCACAGATGATCTAAGAAACAGAAAGTGTGATTGTACATATCAACTGCTTGCCAACTCTCATGCAGTTTCAACAGGAAAAAGGCAAATGGTAACCTTGACCATGATATGTAGCGCTTAGTAATTTATAGAGTATAACATAACAGTATTTATTAGAGGTAATAGCTGCACATCCAAGCAAAACCCAAATAACTCAATAACAATAAGTATCCCACGTTTATTTTCTGCATGGAGAGATGAAGCACTAACACTTTTGTCCCTATATCTTATCTTCTGGTTGTTGTCAAAATAAACTTTGATAAAGCACTTCACCAGCATCCAAATTCCAGGTTCAGGAAATGATGTAAACTTGTAAACAAGTCAAAACAAAAGATCGAATCCAACGTTGAAGCAAGAAAAGAATAACTTGCATGTACACAGGACAAGTTAATATTGAAACAAACAGGTGCTGATCTATGTGAGTTACTTCACTGCATATCAACAAGAAAACTCATGGATACAGAACTGAATGTCACTTTCTGTTTCTAAGTCGCAAAAGGTAAAATAACGTAAAGACGAGCAGTACCAGCATATGTTTTTGCAGCCTCTCCTGATACCACCACTAAAAGCTTGCATAGCTCCTTTATGTCCTCTTCTTGGACAATGTCTGCTAAAAGGGGCCTGAAGTGGGATGGCAGAAACCCATCAATAGAAAACAAATATGGTAGGCATTCTATGAACACGTTATATAGCTTATGGACAGTTACCTGTAGGTAACTTTAAAGGGGCCCAGAGTTGGAGGATGTGCAGACTGGCTTATTGGAATTGAACCATCAGGTACTGCATTTTTCTGATAAATAGACTGATTAAAGTGCGAAGTACATACAACTAGTTTCAACAGAGTCTCATAATAACTGCTGCCACAAGTAGCTTTGTCTAATCTCCTTATAAAAAAATCAATTTTAATTTGCAATTATGTTCAAGATAATTCGAGGTTCTCCCACGAAAATAGAAAAAATGAATTCCGTAAGGTGCATTTATCTATAAAAAAAACTCAACTGGTGGGGGAAATACCGCCCCACAGCTTTGTACTAAGAAGAAACCTCAGCAAAACCGGCTGAGAAAACCTGCAACTACCTACCACAGACCGGCACCCTACCCATGCATGTAAATACCATTCCGGTACCAGCCGTAATGTCTCCTACCAGTGAAGGACCGGCACAGCCAACACTATATCATGTACCGGCCAGAATCCCGGCCACTTCCGCTAGTTCCGGCTATTCCATGTGGAATCTTCCGTTTCTTGGTTTAGGTACCGTCCTGCCACAGCATTTCTTGCAACGTGTAATGACTCCTGATGGTCCTGTACTCCTGCAGCGCACACCCTCCAGCAAAGGCAGCAAGGGCCCTACTTTTTCTCTCCCTGCGAAGTGCGAACGCTCCAATCTCTGTACTGCTGGGCCATAGGGTGTGTGTTTGTGCAATCTACACCTAGAACCTCGTTTTATTTCTTCATTAGCCTTTTGTTTTAGGCTTGTTGCCTGCAATCCACAACTCCAACGCTTGTACCAGAATGCATGCTTATATCATGTACATGTTATTGTTAATTGTAAATATATTTGTCATTTTATTTATTGTATCCAGGAATGGTACACTGGTATCATCCGGTACCGAAATGTTTCATTCCAGTGAGCAAACCAGAATAGCAGCCGGAATGGCATTGATAAGTATGACCCTATCCCTTTTTGCGGAGGCACAGTGGTTTTTATTTGGGTACAAGGCAGGATTTGAACCCCGGCTGTGGTACGATTATTACTCAGTGACCAACCACAGGACTACTAGTGTGTTTGCACATTTATCTACTAGAAGTAGAGTATAAGGAGCTAACACTGGCAGTCTGGCACACTGCTTTGTTACGTAAAAAAGAAAAGTTTTGAGACACTATTCATCAATTCAATTCATGGAATAAAATTCACTCCTAGTGATGGAACAAAGCACTTGCTCCTGAAGACAATAAGGCAAGAACACAAAGCCATTCCTAGATAAAGAAATGAGGTGAAAACAGTGCAAGTTCAAATCTTAGGCATGTCCATTACCTGAGGTATGTGATAATTCCTGTGCGCTACATGTTCCTTATTTGAATTGTCAAGTGAAGGATCAATATGTTTCCTCTTCCTTGATGTGGAAGGAGAAGGGAATCCTGTAGCTCCAATAGCACCATTTACAGCTGCATTTGTCGCCTGCTGCATGTTAATTGCATTTTTGTGATCCCCTTGGAAAAGATTTCTTCTCTCTTCACTTCCTTCAAAATTCTTGCAATCCATACACTTGCAATTTTCAGAGCATAGTATATTAGCTTGGAAGCACTCACAGTACTTCTTGAGGCATCCTGACTTCTTGCAGTGGCACCCTTTATTATGCTTCCCTACTAAAGGGAGATCACTAGACACCTCCTGGCAATTTCATGGACTAGAATTAATGCCACATGTCATGGAAGCACAATAACATGGCCTAAATGAAATGCAATAATGAGATAATGTCTGTATTTGATAGTAAATAGAATAGGGTTAGGGTCTAAGGTTAGTGGAATAGCATATTTGATTTATCAAAGTCTCATCAGTTCCCAATTACTATTGCTAGCTATGAATAACAAGAGAAAATATGGATGTGGCCTTCCTATTGAAAACATTATTCCTTTTCAACTAAAAATACTACCTGCGTCCTACAGTCTAAATTTCTTGTTACTTAAGGTATCAATAGTCTCTGATGCATCCTTTCTACCATCATTTTTCTAAGAATACGCTATAGAAAATCAATAACATTATAATTACACTGAAGCACTTTTTACTGGCGAATCCATGAATATTGTTTTTTAATAAATATAAGTAGATTTTGTGTAGAGATGAACAAATTGCAAAAATTGATGTATTCTAGAACAGCTTGTTTTTTTGGCTGGAGGTGCACTTCATATTAGTATAAGCGGAAGGAAACAAAACATGCACTTCTTTACTAGGGCATAGGTGGCAAACATTTTGCAGGGAAGACTGAATATTAGACTTTTCACCAACCTTGTCTTCTTCCTACCTTGCCAAAAGAGAAGAGCTTGATTAAGGTTCAACAATAGCAATTTTCCATCTCAGACAATGTCAAATATGGTATGTTGATTTTAATTTTGAGGATTTAAATTTGGATTTACAAAATGCCAAGCACACACACAAATCTAATACATTGATACACATTTCCAAAGAGGCACTTCAGAGTAACTTAGAGAAAATGAGTTACAGGCATGAATTCTTCAAAAATAAATAATTTTAAGATGTCAGGTATTATCATGAAGCTTCTCGTATAAATTTATTGCAATGCTCTCCTTTTTCCCTTCAGCTAGAATGGTCTTTCAATTCAAATCCTCTCAATTAGAATAAACTATGGCCTCTAAATGAGCATGGGCATCACTATAACTAACTGAAACTCGAAGGAAAAACAAATGGCAATAAATGTTCCTTTAGAAAGTAACTATGCGAACAACATTTGGACAACAGAACATACATTATTCCTATTCGTATGTGGGCTGCTCCCAATCTTAGGCCTGAAAGCATCTGGATTACGCTCCAATGTAGCTTCAATAGCTTCACGCCTGGCAACCTCATTCTCAGGATTATTAAAACAGTTGGTGCAGTTGCACCCATCACAGTGAGTACCAGAAGCGAAGCATTCACAGTACCTGTAAAAGGAACCATAAAAAGATTTCAGATGGATAAGTATATACACAAGATGCCCAGCTGGAAAAAAAATCAACAACAGTACATTCTTTGTATTTAAAAAGGGAGGTGGGCTGACTTGAACTTGGAGGTCAAAACAATGACACACTTTATAGATTTGTAAAGGTATGCAGAGACAGAAATTAGGGTTTTGGAGACGATATGAAGGATTGAAAGGATGCTAGAAAGATTACTGGAATTATTTGTATTACAATTACTTGTACTCATCTAACCTACATCTACACGTATGTGTCTACTAAGTTGTTTGCTATATTCATCTAACCTACATCTACGAGGAGAACACTATCCACATGAGAAAACGTCCTTTGCTATATTTCATTCTTCTCAAGCTAAGGATAGAATCTGACTTACAAGTCCTTTGCTATATTTCATTCTTCTCAAGCTAAGGATAGAATCTGACTTACAACTTCAAACATCTGGAGTTCCTGCAGTTGCAGCACTTCTTCTTCGTGGGAGTGCTATCTTTTCCTTCATAGAGTCTTGCTCGTGGTTTTGGTGACTCTGGTTTCCTACATTACAAGGTCCCAAAGCATAATTAGAACACTGGAGCAAGAGGCAAATTTCAAAGAAAAAACTTGAAATATTTGGATCTTCAGCAGGGAGAATGCGCTGAAACTTTCCTAGAAGAGTTAGTTTAAGATCAATAAGCTCATCTAACGCAAATATGTGTCTTCGTTTCCAAGGAATGACAAGTCCACAGTAAAATTTGGAAACTGCCTCGTGGTGACACTCAGGAAATCAGAAACATTCCCACGTTCAGCGTATGAATCAAGACGACAACGGGCTCTGTCATCGAGCACAATGAGCCCCGTACCAAACAGAGAGGCGGAAGTTTCAAAACTTCTAAATCTCAGAACGGGGACACTCACAAGGGAACGGCGACCGGGGGGCGCTGGACTGGCTGCGGCGGCATCGGACGAAGCTGCGGTACAGGGACCGCCAGCGGCACCGCGTGCCGCGGGAGCGGCACATGCCCCACCACCTGGTGCGGGCGCATCACCGGCAGCACCCGCTGGTGCAGCTGCTGCGGCACCCCCATCGGCACGGCAGCCCTCACGTACTGCGGATGCTGGAAGCCCACGGGCAACGCCCTCGGCTGCAGAGCCCTAGATACGGCGGCGGCCGCCGCCGCCATCGCGGGGTTCCCCGCCAACGCCGCCGAGTTGAAATCGAGCTGCCTTACCAGCTTCTTAATCGGCGGCTGCATGGACGCAGCGGGCACGGGAGGCCTCTGCGGCGGCGGAGGGCCGCCCTGCTCCTTGCCCGCCATCTACTCAACCCGGCAGCTACAGGATCAAAACGCCTCCGCCCACCGGTAACGTCAACACAAACCCAATTCGCGGCGACCGCGGGGACCCGCGGCGGGATCGCGGCCGCCGGCTCAAGATCGAAGGGGGCGGAGGCCCCGCAGCCGAGTGCGGGGTGCCGGCGCTCGCCACGAGCTCCGACGCGGGTTTGCGGCGGAGGGGAATGGCGGATTTTGAGAAGCTGGTGTGGGGGTAATGGATTTTCCCTGTCTCCCTGCTGCTCTCGACTGCCCTCTTCTCTCTCTTGCCACCCCTCCCCCCCTTTCTTTCTCTCCCACTCTTCCCTTTCGAAATCAAATTCATATTCTACGGCCGGATCCGAGACGCGACCCGCCATCCGACGGCGGAGATGAGGCGGGGCAGCATCCTGCGGCTCGAATTCATAGATGTGGGGTTGTTGGACCGCTCGCCGTTCGATTCGACGGGTTCGGAATTGTTCACCTCGCCCTTAGGCGCACGCGGCGTCCCCTGCTGACACGTGGGACGAGGATCCGGTGGGGCTGCGCAGTCGGTGTGAGGCCACGGAGAGGCGGCGGGGTCTCTGCCGCGCAATGTGATCCGTCCTGTCACTCGTGGAGTTCTTTTTTCTGGGAAAAGCACCGGGACCTGGTTTACGCAAGTGTGTGTCTCATGACACATGGGGCCAGATAAGGAGTGGCCCATATGTCAGTTTGTTTTCATTCGGATTCGCGGGAAGGTACACTTTGTAGCGTGAAAATCTCGCGCGAGGGTTTTAAAAGGTGTGACTAGTGTTCGGTTTCAGTATTCACAAAAAAAAAATGTCTTCGGTTTCAGTGGAGGCCAGTAGGCCACTGTTGAGCCCGTGGAGATCGCCATTTTTGGTTCGTGGGCCTCTCTATGGCCTCCGGCCATTTCTGCTTTCGGAACTCGGAAGGGAAGGTTCCAGGCTTCAAAATCTAATTTTGTGCTGATATTTTAGATAGTGGGTTTTGACTTTTGAGTACTCGATTTAACTGTTACAAAGAAAGAATACTCCCTACATACGAGTAATTTAAGTCGTTTGAACAAGTCTTGCATCAAACATTGAGAATATAAACCATGAATAATTTTTAAGTTGCTGAGTTTAAAAATATAAAACCATATAAATATATTTGTATTGAAAAATACTTTCATAAAAATATACATATATCACTTTTCAATAAATATTATTATAAAAATAAAAAGTCAAAGTTATGCTTTGAAAATCGTGTCGTTATCTAAAACGACTTAAATTACCCGTATAGAGAGAGTACACATATAAAGCATTGGTGTTTCGCTCAATACAAAGGATCAAATATAAGCAAACACTGTCAACAATAAACTCGCCAGGACATTGTCACTTGTCACCTTGCGTGGGACATAGTCCTCGGGCACTCCACAAGAAAGGAAGAAGATATAGTCCGACTAGGAATTCCTCCATGTAATTCTAGTAACATTGATATCATGTAATCCTACTAGTACTCTTACATTGTAACCTACTAGGAGACTTGTCTCCTGGGCTATATAAAGAAGGGTTGGGCTCCCTAGATCAACACTCAAGAGGAACAGACCTCACGGTCTAAACCCTAAGTGGCAAGGAACAATATACTTTCCACCCAGACTGGACGTATGGACGCTATTCCGGCGGACCGAACCAGTATAAATTATTGTCTCTGCGTTCATCGTCGAGTTCTACATACGCCGAAGCCCATCAACCATCGTCTCGGGTAACCCCATGACGAGTTGTCGGTCATCAAACACCGATAGCGCCAGGTAGGGGCTTTCGGCGTAATTGTGTTCGAGAGCTCGGCGGACCTCAAGTTCAACGCCGTTCGTGGCAACCTCATTTTCCACAACGGCTGACGGACTCGACATCATAGCAACCAGTGCCGGCCCTAAGGGTAGGGCACGAGGTGCGACACCGAGGGCCCAAGCGGAGGAGGGGCCCAAGCCTAGGTATACAGACCCCCAGATCCTATAATTTATTAGGCATTAGTAAACTAATGAGAAAAGAAACATAGAACTGGCCAGGTAGCCCAAAAAGACAACATCGGCATTTCTTTCCTAGATTTCTTTCCCCACGGCCCTCGGTAGAGAGGAGGCAATGAGTCACGCTGCACACAGCACACTATGATCGTGAGTTCGCGACGTGCACCTTACACACGCGGAGGTGGTGAGCCACGCCGCCGTGAAGAGCTAGACTACCGGAGACACGGACACGGCGCATGAGGACGGCGACCAGGCAGCACGACGACAACATTTTAATTCTTGGCTTCTTATGAATTACGATCACCGATCACTTATTTAGACTCAAGGTATTTTTTTCCTTTTTATTTTTAATCTAAATTAATTATTTGTATAGTATTTCAGACTTCTAGTACTTTGTATCCATATAGTTATATTTTTTTTCTAATTTAGATGTTAGAATTTTAGAATGTTACCTAAGAAACATTTATCATGGGTGAGAAAAGAAAATGAATATATTACTTTTTTTAATCTATATTGTTGCTCGATAATTATCATACATCTACAAATATATTGCTTAATCTAAAATTGTTCCTCGATGATTACCAGATATGTTAAATTTAAAATATGTTATTGAATTTGCTTTCGTTTTACAAATAAAATTAGCATTTATATATTATAAGATTTTATACATCATTAAGATGACAAGGACCGACACTAACGGCAACGACAAACTTCCAGCAGCCTGCGACGGGGCTTCAGGTCTAGCTCCAGCAAACCAGCTCCGACTCGCCTGAATTCAGGAAGCAAGTCAGCAAGGAAGAACCCAACGACTTCAGCCACCGTCTCGCATGCGTATCGACGAGTACATAGTCAAAAGTGCTGAAGCCCTTAATCGTCGCCACGATGAATACGTCACGTTCAGTTGCATGCATCCGTATAGATCCGTACAGCTCCAAGTCTGTGGACTACGTCGGGATCAATAAAGAAAAGAAAGAGAGCGAATATGGCCATGGAGACATCGGCGACATGAACCAGACCGATCTAAAGCCCAAAGCATCAAAATCAGAGCACAAGTCAGACTACAACGCCGCCTCCATCTCTAACACGGCATCAACATTGGAATTTCCAAGTCAAGGTTTCGACGATGAAGACGTTGCTCTGATTAGAGCAAACAAGAAGCGTGTGCAGGCCTTGCAAGTTATTTAATATAATCAAGGGGCAACTAGCATATACGTGTGCATGCATGCACAACATGCTACACGCCCAAACTTGACCTAAACGCTCAGACAACAAGATCCCATAGGTCAGCAAGCAAACCAAGAAGGATCACCGTTCCCAGTGCTCGACGTGCCTGTCGGCTGACTGGTTTACTTCGTCAACAACCTCCTACTCGGGGAGGATGACTAAGCTGATGCTCGGGGCTCCCAAATCCGAAACAATTGATAGGCTGCTACTCATTCATGACCCGACGTCAATATACAAGGGCAACACACATGCTGCCGCCGGACGACTGGACTCCGTCAGGCTATGTCATGACTCTGCATGACCGTGGGCTCTGGCCCTTTCACGGCCAACGCAGTCCGATTACACCTCTACGACACGCCGACTACTCCACTCAGTCGTCAATCAAGATAAGTCACAGCTTTAATATTTTTAAATATTCTTTAATCTTTTATATATCTCCATGCCTCTGTGGTCATACTATATTGCATTCCCAACTACTCACACAACTCTGAACTTGTAGTCGGGACTACACCTAATGGGTATATAACATGCACTCCGTGCGTATCCCTTTTTTTCGTGCAGCGCCGACTGCTCTAGTCTTCTCTTAACGGCTGTAAAAATACTTGATGAGCAGTACGAACTCACATTTGTAGCGTATTGTTTCCTCACGGCTCACATGGTCAAGGTCATGAACCTCGCCACCGTACGCTAGAGATCCAAGTGGTTACACATACGAGGTCAGCTACTCGAAAAATTTACACAGTCTAGCAAAAGCAAGACGCAAAATTTTTTACATGCATCTCATAATACTGGGATCCGCTCCCAACCTATTATTTTATATACATGGGATCTGCTCCCAACTTGATATCCTGAATATCAATAACTACGAAACTTTGTATAATTACCTTGTAGGGAACAAGATCCGGGTGAGGTACGCGCCTCCGCGGGCTGCCTCTGCTTCTCGTCTACAACTCGCCGCCGGGGTTCTTATCGGCGCTAGCCGACAACTCGCCACCGCGGTTCTTGTCGGCCCTCGTCGACAACTCATCCGCCACCACGGCCCTCGTCGCCACGGCTCTCGTCGGCCCTCATCGACAACTCATCCGCCACCACGGCCGTCGTCGCCATGGCCCTCGTCGGCCCTCGACTGGCCGCCGCGGCTCTCGTCAGCCCTCCTAGATGCTTGCATGTGCATGGCAAGTTCAATCTACAAAGCCATGCACGCGCGGCTCTGATCAGTCAAGCTAAAAAGGAGGACGCATGATCTGCACAGCCGAGCAATGCAAGCAAATACAAAGCATCAACATGCTAATTCTGATCCTGCATGTGCGTGCATGCATCACGCACGCAACAGCTCTGAAAGCCCAAGATGGAGGATATATCATCGGACAACCTCGAGAAGAAGCATCGGCAACAACGAGCACTAGCAGTGTCTCAGCCGGGCAAGATTGATTCGGATGACTACCTCGAGAAGCAGCCGATGATGCACAGGAGCAAGCACGGCGGTATCCACCCGGCGTCGTCCTTCACTTGGACTCCCCGGTGAGATGAACCAGTCCGTATTCGATTCCTCCTCCAGCCCGCTCAACACCTTTAATTCCAATCTAGGAAGCCGCTCCTGCTCGGAGCCAGATACTACAAGAAGTTTTGGAGCCGAGTACCAAAAGCACCACCCATTCACGACATGCCATGCAAGTTAGCCAAGACATTCAAGGCATTAAGGCTTCACGTGCTTGTACATGCTCTCAACAAGCAAGGCCGCGTCAATTATGCATGCACGTGAGGATTCGGT